CACCGTGGAGTTAGCCATCCAGTAGGAGGCTTGCATCCCAAGAAAGGTGATTTCTAGGTATGACTGTGAGCTGAATAGTGACGTTTCCATGGAGGATGGACAAAGTAGATGACATGTCCACGGGAAATTCCTATGGTCTGGTGGCACTGTAGCTGCTGCAGTGCCATAGTATAATACATTTGTGACACTGGCACCCATAGACTACTGTGCTACCTACCCTATAAACAGCAAATGCAAAGCCAGGCATTGGTGCGTGCCAGTATTCCTAGAACCTGGAAGGTAGAGGCAGGGGGATCAGGATTTCTAGGTCATCATTGACTATGTCCAGTTCAAAGCCAACCTGGACTGCATGAGACCTTGCCTTAAAAAATAAAAAAATAAAGGGCTGGCTCTTTAGGAGAGAAGCGATAGCTCCTTGGATAATAGCCCTTGCTGTGCAAGCATGGACTTGAGTTCAGATCCCTAGAAAGCACTCAAAAAACACAGACACACACAGACACAGACACAGACACATAGACACACACACAAAGATCAAACAAATTTTAAAAATAAATAAAAGCATAGCGCATAGAAACTTGATAATGATAATAAACCATCTTGTTACTAATCTATTTACTTGAACATACTTTTAGTTGCTGTTTTAGAGTACACTCCTACTTTAAAAACCAAAAGGTTACATGTAAAACAGTCTCACGGAGGCCTTTGGAGGATCCAGAAGAAGATGCTGTTGTCAGAAGAAATCACGGCTGCTAGTGCTACTTCCCTGAAGACTAGACCTTCCAGGAGCGTAAGATGTAGCCATGGAAGACAGAGATGCTGATAACCCGACCCCAGAGATCTAGGCTGGTGTAGGCATTTGTATCTTCATTTTGATTTTAAAATAAAGCAAAACAAAAAACTGGGCAGAGCAGAGCGCACCTATAACCTTAGCACTTGAGAAGTAGAAGAAGACACAGTTCAGGGTCACCCTCAGATACATGGTGAGTTCAAGGACAGCCTGGACTACACGAGACCCCGTCTCAGAACAACAGAAAAAGGAGAGGCTGGAGAGGTCGCTCAGGGCTTAAGAGCGCTTGCTGCTCTTGCAAAGGACCCAAGTTTGGTTCCTAGCACTCATGTCAAGCAGCTAACAACTACCTGTAACTCCAGCTCCAGGGGATCCAATACCCTCTTCTGACCTCCACAAGCTTTTGAATGCGTGTGTCCGTATACACACACACACACACACACACACACACACACACAAATAAAAATAATTCTTTTTTTAAAGAAGAAGAGTTTTGTCTAAAGTTTGACCTATAGAAAAGTTGTCTATAATTTTTAATATTAAGTACGCATTATTTAAGTAGATAGTGCTAAGACCTTGGTCATCTTCCTGAGAGTGTCTACACTCAATTTTTCTTAAGTCTTCATGGCAACTGTGCTGCTTGGGCAGAACATCTCTTCAGATGAGAAGAGCTATTCAGAGAGGCCGAGTGGTCACTGACTCACAACTAATGATGTCAGAGCCTAGATTTGCAGGGAGCCTGTGAGATGTCAAGCCCCCTGCTTTGTTGACTAGCTGCTCCCTCCCCACGCACGTGGAAACTGCTTCTGAGGCTTTATCCACTGTCTTGAGCTGCTTTTTCTTCGCCTTGTCTATGCCTGTCTGCTGTTTCTGAAGACTCTAAGCTCCTGGAAGCCCAGGACCATCCACTTATCCAATGGGTTAAATTCTGCTGGACTAAATGTGACTAAGTCCAACAAGATCCTGGCCCTGGGACTTAGGAAGGGGACAGTCCCAGGCACATCTGGCTTACTGGAGGGAGTGCTCTGGATACTTCTCTCCACCCTTTCCTTCCCCAAATCCGGTTTGGCAGACTCTTGGGTTTCCTGTTGAATTGGAATAACCTCTAGGGACACCCTCTGGGTAGACTCATGGTGTTCCTCCCACATCCCAGCCACACTTTGTTTCCAGAAAATTCCTTGCATTCAAAGGGACCAAAGCTCCCTTCTGGGTTTCTGAAACCCACTGTAAACTGCGGCTTTTCCTCAGAACTGTTATAGTATCTGGTACCAGATTTTTGCCATGGTTATAGGTCAAGCAGAACAGTTTCTTTCCAACAAGCAAGCACTCAATGAAGTCAGAGCCAGAAAAGTCTGGGAAATCAACTTGTTTCAATTCGTGGATAAAGGCCCTGAAGAGAAAGTGTCAGATATCACATAGGGACTCCTCTTTGGGAGATTTATTCTTCCTGGTCCCCCAAGCTCTGCTTTGGACCCCATATACAACACTCGCTCTGTCCACGTGTGGCTCTGGCTCAATGAGGTTTGAATCCAGCCCAGAGGCTGGAGTTGAGGTCCCGCCTGCCTTCCATTCCCTAGGTGCAGCCCAGCTGCCACTTAACATGTCAGTTCACATGACTCTGAACCCAGGTGGGTTTAACCAATATGCTTCTGCAAGGCACATAGGTCTCTGTTTATTTTCTAGACCAATAGCCAGAGCCTCAGAGGGGTTAGCAAGCACATTTAAAGTCACTCAGCTAGTAAGTGGGGGGTGGAGCCTAGACAGAGGCCATGTCACATCTTCAGGCACAAACATGTGTATGTGTTTGATATGCACAAACACACATATGAATGTGTATGTACACACGTGTGCACTTGAAAACATATACATGTACACATGATATATATGTACATATATATGGTAGATTTACACGTGGTGGTATGCAAAGATACCTATTAGTTGTAGTTATATGAGAAAAAGAAAATCAAGAAACAATCATAATAGTAGCCTTTTAGGAAAAAAATGGTGTGTGTGTGTGTGTGTGTGTGTGTGTGTACATATATCAATTCAAACATTAGTTTTCTCAATTCAAAAGTCACCTCCTGTAGTACATTTTAGGGACAAAGGTGATCATCAAATCATGGACCCAGAAGCTACAAGCTCATCCACATGCCACTGTCCCTACTATTTCCAGATCAGTTTTCATCCTGAACATTCTAGCACAGACCTTGTCCAAGAAGATGGTAGGTCATGCTGGATCCCTCTTTATGTCACTCTCCACACCCAGCAAGGAGGCCTGTGGGGGAGTGTGAGGCTTTATTGAAGGCTGGAGCCACCAAGGGGGTCCCAGTGAGGAAACGGGGGCACAGAACTTTGTGTCAAGAAGGTTGATTTTCTGAAACAGAATGGTTCACCCAAGGGTGGTCCCAAGTCCTTGATGGAACTTCTGTCCCTTGCCCTGAAACCCCCAGCTTGTGGGAAGATGAGTCCTGAAGAATTTTCTAGTGGACACTTGTTTCCATAGTCTGAGAAGATGCACCCTGTTGGTCAGGAAACTTGGCAAAGGACTTCCCTTCCAGCATCCCAGTTCCCAGCTTTGCCCCCAGGCCTAGGGTCTGTCTTTGGCTTCCTCTAAGATGTCTTCTATGAAGTTCTAGCCTTCAGGGTTATAACCAAGTGGTTACCGTGACAGATTGACAGCATATTAAATTGTCCCACTGATGTTGGTCACTTAGGGTATCTCCACATTTTGTCTAGATGATGTCACAGCAAACATCTTTGTGCCTTCCTGGGTCAAAGATTATCAAATAATGATTCCTACTAAAGATTACCAATGGCATCCAATAGAAGCCGTCTGGCTTACAATACCGTAACCAACACCACCAGTTCCCATGAGTCTTAGCAGAGTCTTGCCAACATGGGCTCTCTTGCTCCCTTTAATTTCAGTTTGAAAAGATTTATTTTTATTTATGTCCGTGTATGTGTGTGTGTGTGTGTGTGTCAGTGTATCTGATGAGCATGAGCATGCCCGTAGAGACCAGATGAGGGTGTCAGATCTCCTGGAACTGGAGTTGCAGGTGGCTGTGAGTCACGAAACATGGTGCTGGGAACCAAACTCCAGTCTTCTGGAAGAGCAATATCATAGATGCTCTTAACCACTGAGCCATCTCTCTGTCCCCTGGTTTAGAAGATTTTAAATGGTATCTCAGAAGTGTTTGCCAAGCAAGCTTAAGGACCAGAGTTTGATTCTTGGACCCCACAGTTGAAGGAGAGAACTGACTCTCAAAAGTTGTCCTCTGACACACACACACACACACACACACACACACACACACACACACACACACGCACACACTGTACATATCCACACAATAATAAATACAAATCTTAAAAATTAAGGTGGTCTAAGTTGTTTACATGTGCTGGTCCCTTTGTAAAGCTGCTTCATGGGGCTCTGCCTGAGTCCTCAGCTCAGACCTGATGTCTACACAGAGACTGTGCCCCTTAGTTCATCACCTTTTGGCACAAACCAAAGCCTCCCTCTGCCCCAGCATCCATCCAGGGTCAGGGACAGAGTGAGAGTCACCATGTAGGACACAGAGAGGAGGTGGCACAGGCGAAGGAGAGCAGAGTGAAGGGCGGCAGATTCTCTCCGGGTGTGGGAAGGAAAGCAAAGGCAGGCTTAACTCGGTACTTACAAGCTTCTCACGACAGTCCTGAGCCTGGCAGGAGCATGGCAAGAGCAGCATGCTGGGGGCTGGGAATGTGACTCCGCTGGTAGAGTGCATGCCCAGTCTGCACAAAGCTCTGGGTTCTATCCCCAACACTACAAACACGGGGTATAGTAAAACTAGGCATGGTGCTGCTCTCCTGTAATTCCAGGACTCAGAAAGTGGAGACTGGATCAGAAGTTCAACATCATTTTCTGCTGCATCGTGACTAGCCCAAGCTATACGAGACTCTGTGTAAAAAATAAATAAGTAAACAGCAAGTTGGGAATAATGTTCATGATCTGCAGACCCTTGGCAGAAAACACCTTTTGAAGCCAAGGAGGGGTGTTCTCCACCCTCTCTCATCCTGGAGCCTCCCCACAGGCCTCTGTCACTGACTCAAACCAGGAAGTGCCTTCCTCAGTAGTTTCCAGAAATCCTGGTGTCCCAGGATCAGGGCCATTGATGTATGTCACTCCCTGTCCTCGCCCATTCAGCTCAAGCTCTGGGGTTCCCCTCCGCAGGTACGGATCTGGGAGATCCCAGATGGCGGGCTGAAGAGGAACATGACTGAGGCGCTCTTGGAGCTGCATGGACACAGCCGGCGTGTGGGGCTGGTTGAGTGGCACCCCACAACCAATAATATCCTGTTCAGCGCTGGCTATGACTACAAGGTGTGTAGTTGGGGTCGGGGGCAGCCTGGTGAGAGCTGGCTCAATGGTGAGGGATGGGGGAGGAATGGGGGTGGACTGTCTTAAGATGCTGAGCTCACCCATTCATTCCCTCATTCAAACACCTATTTATTGGCTCAATCACTAGCTCGCTGGATACACATGATTAAGCATCTCCTGCATGCCCATTATTCCTGGGAAATACAAGGGTTCAAGACATTTTTCCTGTCTTCTCTGGAGTCCTCTGGACTAAAGGAAAATGCCCATACCCTTTGCCTAGCCACTTCTTATCCACGAGGCAACCACTGCCCTCCTGATAGGGAAAGGAACAACCCAAGCTGCTGGGGGTGTCGGGGGGGCAGGGAGCAAGAAAGTAAAGCTACATGTCACCCCAAACTCTGGCAAGTCAGTCATCTGGGACCAGTCACAGAATGGCTTTCAATTTTAGCTACAGAAACAAAGTCAAGGCTGGGGCTGGGGTCTCCCTGAGGGTTACAGTGAATATGTGTGTTTTAGTTACTTTACTTGCTGTGACAAAATACCTGACCAAAAAAAAAAAAAAAAAACTTAAGGGAAGAAAGGTTTATTCTGGTTCACAGTTTGAGGAAACAGTCCGGGCTGGCGGGGAAGGCATGGAAACAGGAGTGTGAGGCAGCTAGTCACGTTGCATTCACAGTAAGAAGCAGAGAGAGAGGGGCTAGGAGAGATGGCTCAGCAGTTAAGAGCACTGACCGTTCTTTCAGAGGACTGGGGTTTGGTTCCCAGCACCCCATGGCAGCTGACAACCATCTGTCAACCCCAGTTCCAGGTGATCTGACACCTTCTTCTGGCATCCATGGGTTTGTACGTGTGTGGTGCACTTATACGCAGGCAAACTATTCATACACATTAAAAATTAAATAAATCTAAAAAAGATTATTAAAAAGAAGAGGGAGGGAGAGGAGGGAGAGAACGCTGGTGCTCCGTTCACTTTCTCTTTTTTCATTCAGTTCAGGACCCCAACTCATGGAACGGTGCTGGTCACACTTAAAGTGGGTCTTCCCAATCTAGTTAACCCAATCTAGAAATTCCCTCACAGACATGCCCAGAGGTTTGTCATCTGGGTGATTCTAGACCCAACAAGGTGACAGTCAATAGGAACCATCACAGAGTGTACTTGGGATGTACCTGCCTTTCTGCACAGAACTCTGAACAGTGTGCCACTCCCCAGCATAGCCCGGGCCTTGTACAGGCAGCTGCTCCCAGGGTCATCTGTTGTGGATGGAAGATAGACACCCCATGGCCACAGCAGCAGCTGACTCCACCTTCTGCCCATCTGCCTTCACAGGTCCTCATCTGGAACCTGGACATAGGTGAGCCAGTGAAAATGATTGACTGCCACAAGGACGTGATTCTCTGCATGTCCTTCAATACGGATGGCAGCCTGCTCACCACCACGTGCAAGGACAAGAAACTGCGTGTGATCGAGCCCCGCTCAGGCCGTGTTCTGCAGGTGGAACCCTACGTTTTGTTGAGGCTAAGGGAGGTGTTGGGGTCTGGGGCTCAGCCTTCTCCCAGGCCTGGAAGAAAGGGCTGGGCTGGGGCCTTCCTCATGCATCTCACTCACACCTGCTGACATGCCTGTGTGCTCAGGGCCATTTTAGGCTCGTAAGAACTCGGACTTGTGATGGTTAGGGAGGGACTAAAGAGCCCTTTCCTGCTCTCAGTGAAATCTCTAAATGAAATTTGTCTTAGTTTGTTCTTCATTGCTGTGACAAAATACTCTGACCAGTACCAACTTAGGGAGGAAAGGGTTTATTTGTCTTACATCTCCCAGGTTGCACACATTCATCAGGGAGCCCAAGGTAGGAACTCAGGGCAGGAACCTGGAGGCAGGAGTTGGAGCACAGGCCATGGAGGAACGCTGCTTACTGGCTTGCTTCCCCGGCCCCTGCTCAGCCTGCTTTCTTATGCAACACAGGCCCACCTGCCCAGGGGTGGCACCACCCACAGTGGGCTGGGCCCTCCCACATCACTCATCAAGAAGATGCCCTTCAGACATGGCCACAGGCCAGTCCAATAGAGGCAATTTCCCAATTGAGGCTCCCTCAACCCAGGTGTGTTAAAGCTATCCAGCACAAAATTCTTCTGACCTGCTGTGATGAGCCTACCGTCCCTAAGTCCCCAGGTGTTAACTAAGTCTAATCATGGGTACAAAGGAAGAGGACTTTGGACTCACAAACCTGCCACCCACATAGGATGAGCTTGGGACAAATGACTCAGGATCCCATTTCTACAGATGGCTCTACATAGGGAGGCTGGTGGTGACCTTAGCTCCTGGGTCTTGGATGTAAGGGATTATGTGCTATTTGGGAATAACCAATGACAGTTCTTGAGTACTTACTACATGCCAGTCATAGAGCTAGCTGGGATGGAAAATATTGATGAAATTTGAAGGGTGCTCAAGAAAGACTGACTCCTGGCCTTGGAGTGTTAATCTTGAAAGAGTCTAATAGTATCAGACCAAAACAACAGCAACAACAACAACAAAACCCTCTATTACCACCACTACAGAAAAAATAAACACAGTTGTTGGGCAGTGTGGCAGTACAGGTCTGTAATCCTGGCAACTCAAGGCAGCTGATGGCAAGTTCTAGGCCAGCCTGGGCTACATAGACAGACCCTGTCCCCAAGAGCAAACAGGAAGGAAAGAAGGAGAGAGGAAGGAGGGAGGAAGGCTGAGATTGTAGTTCAGGTGGTGAAGTGCTTGCCTAGCATGCATGAAACCCTGGGTTCCATCCCCAACAACATAGAAACTGCTGAGTTGATGCATACCTGTAATCTCAGCACTTAGGAAGTGGAGGCAAGAGGATTCTTGGCAACATAAGGAAGTTAAAGTCAGCAGCCTGACACATAATTTCTGTCTTAGTTTGTTTTCTATTGCTGCTATAAACATCATGACCAAAGCAATTTGGGAGTAAAAGTATTTATTTGGCTTACATATCCCAATCACTATTCATCATTGAGGGAAGCCTGGGCAGGAACTCAGGGTAGGAGCCTGGAGACAGGAATTGAACACAGACCATGGAGAAATGCTGCTTACTGGCTTGCTCCTCTGACCTGTGCTCAGCCTGCTTTCTTATACAACCCAGAACTACCTGCACAGGAGTGACACTCAGGCCCTCCCACATCACTCAGCAGCAAGAAAATGCCTCACAGACATTCCCACAGGCCAGTCCAGTAGAGGAAATTCCTCAATTGGGATAGTTCCTCAACTGAGGTTCCCTCTTCCCAGGTATGTCAAGTTGACAACTGACGCTTTCTTGCACAGAATGCTATTTAGGAAGGAAGGAAGAAAAGAAGGAAGGAGGGAGAGAGGGAGGGAGGGAAGGAAAGAGGGAGGGAGGGAAGATGAAAGAGGAGGGGAGAGAGAGAGAGAGAGAGAGAGAGAACACAAGCCAGGAGTGATGGCTCATGCCTTTAATCCTAGCATTTGTGGTAGAAGTAGGCAGATCAGGAGTTCAAGGTCATCTTCAGCTACATAGTAAGTTTGAGGCCAGCCTAGACTGCATGTTCTCACCTGTCCCCCCAAAAGTAAAAACAAAGAAAAGAAGGAAGAATCACAGTTGCTAGTGTTGTTGGCATCAAGCAACGCTTCCCAAGGACTCCATCCCTGTGTGCCACGCACCAGTAAGAAGGCTGCATGCTTGTCTCAGTGCTCAGGACAGCCCTCCACGGCGGACACCACTGTCCTTCTGCTTCACACAGAACACTGCCAAGGCTTGGGCTAGAGAGCTGAATCTCATGTTTTCAGGGGGAGTTAGAATTCAAGCCCAGGGCCCACGATGAACAGAAGGAATGCTCAAGGACCCAAACCCCTAACTCACAAGTGAGGACAGGAGCCCAGAGCAGGTGAGAACATTGCCTGGACTACATGCCTAGAGCTAGGAGTAAACCCCCAAATAAGTGACCCCAGCCAGGATCTTTAGGCTACCTCACTAGTCTCTTTCCCATCTTGATCTGCCTCACTTGATAAAAAATGGTGGTCAGGCATGAAGACTTCATTATTCTGATCTGATGGGCAGGACGGGGGACAGAGGAGTAGTTAGGAAAGAGCTCAGTTGATAGAGAGTTTGCCTAGTATGCACAGAACCCTGGGTTTGAGCTCCCATACTATATGAAGCCATGCGTGGCACATGCCTGTAATCCCAGCACTCAGGAGGTGGGAGCAGGAGAACAGGATGACTGTGGTTGTAAGTATTAAATAGATGCCTGGTAAGAGCACCAATGGTATAACTCCTGAGGGCTTAGAGGAGGTGAGCCCCTCCCTTCCCTGCTTCCACTGCTCTGGGTAGTGCAGGGGCCTAACACCATAGTTCCCAGGGCTGTAGTACTCTATGGACAACTGTGTCATTCTCCTGTGGTTACTGTCACAAATGACCACAAACTAAGTAGCTTTAAGCAACAGAGACATGTTCTTTCCCAGCACAGCACTGGGAGCCGTGTCCCAAACTGAGGTATCTACAGGGCTGTTCTTCCTCCAGAGGTTCTAAGAGAGTCAGCCCAGTCCTGTCTTTTTTGGCTCTTGTTCTTGTTTTGTTTTTCTCTGTGTGTGCATACACATGTGTCTGTGTGCCTGTGTCTGTGCGTCTGTGTATGTGTTCGCATGAACATTCATTTACATGTATACATGCTTGTATAGGCCAGAGGCTGACATCAGGTGTCTTCCACGATTGTTCTCTGTTTTATTTTTGGAGGCAGGGTCTCTCCCTCAACCTAGAGGTCGCTGATCACTGGCTAGACTGACTGGTCAGTGAGTCCCAGGGATCCTCCTGTCTCCACCTCCTCAGTGCTGGGATTATAGGTGCCTGCTGACACCTTTCAAAGCTGACGCCTTTTAAATTATAAAAAATTACACTTATTCATTTTGTGTATGTGTGTGTTTGTGTGGCATACGTGTGGAAGTCAGAGGACAGTTTTCGAGACTCAGCTCTCTTCTTCCACCATGTAGGTTCCAGGGATCAAACTCAGCTTGTCAGAGTCCTCGGCAAGAGCTTTTACCTTATGAAATATTTTTTAAACATGATTTCTGGGAGATCAAACTCAGCTCCTCAAGTTCCCACAACAAGCTCTTTACTAACAGCCATCTACCCAGTTTTTGTTTTGTTTTCTTTTGTGTTTCATGTTGGTTTTTGTTTGGGGAGGGTTGTTGTTGGTTTTGCTTTGCTTTGCTTTGGTTTATGAGACAGGGTCTCCCTGTAGCCCCAGCTGACTTGAAACTGACTATGTAGATCTAGGCTGGCCTCAGTCTCACAGAGATTCACCCAGCTTATTTTCTTGAGACAAGATCTCACTATGCAGCCCCGCCTGACTTGGAACACACTATGTACTGTGCTGGCATGGAACTTGTGATCCTCTTGCCTCAGCCTCCTGAGTGCTGGGTTCTGGGTTCTTGCCCTCTTCTGCTTCTGGAGGTCACTGGCTCCTTGGTTTATGGCTACACCACTCCAACCTCCACTTCATGGTGACATCACCTTCTCCTCTGTGAACCTGGATAATCTCAGCTCTCTCTTACATCAGTGATGGCATTTTTGGCCCAACTGTAAAAATCATAGTAATCTCTTCATCTTGGGGTTCTTAGCCAAATTCTATCTGCCAGGACGCTTTTTCTAAATCAAGGGGGAATTCAGAGCACCATGAAATTAGGACATGGATATCTTGGGGAGCCACCATTCTGGTCAACTCTCTACAGAACCTACATATTGAAAAGTCCTGGCTCGCCTGTGTTCTCTGTTCCCACCAGGAGGCAAACTGCAAAAACCACAGAGTGAACCGGGTGGTGTTCCTGGGCAACATGAAGCGGCTCCTGACAACAGGGGTTTCCAGGTGGAACACGAGGCAGATCGCCCTCTGGGACCAGGTCAGCCACTGGGAGACTGGCAGGTGGGCAGGGAGGAGGCAGGTAGCCTAGACCGGAGCTCCTTGGATCTGTGCTTCCTGGATGAAATAAGATAGAGGTCTGAGTGCCTGGGGCCCCATCCAGGTTGGTGGGGAACTTACCAGAAAAGGAAAGGTTTAGAATGAGGCTCGCCTGGCCCATCCTTGTGTGGAGAGTAGACCAGACAGGGTCACTCAGGCTGGATCTAGGATGTGCTCCCAGGCATGCCTGGACACAGGCATGCATTTGAACTTTCACCAGCACCATGCTCTGGGGCCCTTGGAACCCTCAGACATACAAGTTAACTTTAATTTTCACACTGAGGGAAGGAGCCCAGCTTAGTGTCCATGTTCCAGCTCAGCCTCCAGCCAGGCCTGCCTGATCTCCTGATGGGTCTGCAGGTTAGGGGCACCCATGTGCAGTCTCCATCCCTGTCCTCTTGCCCACCACCACCTCCGCCAAGCAGCATCACGGGCCAGTGAGCAGGCCCTGGAGGTCGACAAGGAGTACCGGAAGCAAAGCAAACACTAAGCCCTTTGTGTGGCTTGAAGACAGGTGTGTTCCCTCAGTCATACAGAGGACAGAAAAGAAGGGTTAATTAGGTCCTTCCAACTACACACTCTGAAAACATACTATGTTCTAAGGAGAGGTGCTCAACAGGACAAAAGCAGTAGTAGGCTAAAGGGTTACAGGGTGAGGCACAGGAGTGGCCAGCCAGGTTTGAGCTAAAGAAGACACTTCCGAGAGAGCCATGTCCTTGCTGGCACAGTCAGCCTCTGATGGCATCGCCAGCTGGGATTGGACAGGGACCTCAGGAGATGGAGCTTCGGATCAGAAAGGCTTTCAGACAACGCCTGGCCACACCTGCAAGATGCTTGCCTTCCTTGTGCAGACTAGGGCTGAACTCCAGAGACACCCAGAGACTTACTTGGGGCCACATAGCAAGTTGTGGATATGGGAAGGGGACACTGAGAACAAGTCCTCTACTCCTGTTTGCTGGGTCCTTCTCACACCCTAGCTTCTCATGACAGTGGATGTAGCCTCAGTCCCTCCCCCATGGGAGGGGCTTTTCGACATGTTAGGGACCTTGGCAAAAAGGGGCATAGCCCTGGTGACTGTGCTAGAATTTGAGAAAGGAGCATGTCCTCCTCCCAGACACAGGCTGAACCACACCACCCTCCCCACAGGAGGACCTGTCCATGCCAATGATTGAGGAAGAAATTGATGGGCTCTCGGGCCTCCTGTTCCCATTCTATGATGCTGACACCCACATGCTCTACCTGGCTGGAAAGGTAATCGGGGTAAAGTGGGGACTGGGGCAGCTAGGAGAGACCTCCACCCCCATCAGACTCCTGCTTCTGCCCTACCCCTAAGAAAAGCCAGCCTAACCTCTCTGTCTTCCCATGAGCCAGCCCAGCTGAGAGCCCTGGCTCTCAGCTCTTCAGTCTACACCTCCCTCACTCTTACTGAAGTGTCAGTGGCTCCTTATAGGACAAGGTAGAGTGGGATGTACATGGGGATAAAGATTTGAGCTGACATGTAGACAGTGACCAATGACATAGTATGAGACACCTGTCAGGAGATATTTGAACATGGCCTTGTTAGATAGGCTGTGTGTACACACCACATGCAAACCACAGCATACACATCACACTACCCAAATACCACACATACATACCACACTGCACATACAGCACATACCACATCATACACACACCCCACATATGTACCATATCACACCATACCATACACACACATACTTATTCCACATACATTCCACATTATACACATACTACATATGTAATACTATACATTCACACACACACACATAACAACACATATACACACACATACACACATAACACACACCCCACATATGTACCATATCACACCATACCATACACACACATACTTATTCCACATACATTCCACATTATACACATACTACATATGTAATACTATACATTCATGCATAATCACACTGAACACATACCACACCACACACACCACACATACATACCTACCACATTGTACACATTCCACACACAAGACCATACACACACACACCATACATACACAAACAATACATACCACATCACACACACACCACACCATACAAACCACATCATACACATACTATATCACATACACATACCACACATACACACAACATACACATATACCTTACCATACACATACTACACACCATACACACATACCACTCACAAAGCGCATATACATACATCATGAACAACACACACCACACATGCATCACACACACACCACGTATACACATACTGCCCATGCACACACACGCATCACTTACAGTGCACACATACATTACATACACCATACACACAAACCACACATATCACATAGACACCATCCCACCTCCACCCCTGCCCCCAGTAGAACCATCAGGGTCTAAAGATCAGGTCTCCCTGATCTTCTGACCACCTCTGAGACGTGGGACAGCTCTCTTCTGTAGCCCTTAGGCCAGGGCCTGCTCTGCCCTCCCTCTGCCTTCCTTTCCTCATAGATTCTCTGCTACCCGCAGGGAGATGGAAACATCCGGTACTACGAGATCAGCACTGAGAAGCCCTACCTGAGCTACCTCATGGAGTTCCGGTCTCCGGCCCCACAGAAAGGCCTGGGTAAGGACCCAAAGGCTGAGGGGTTGCTACGTGAACAAGAGACGATGTTGACTTGTGGCTAGGCAGTCAGACTCCGAAGGCCACAGCCCATGGGGAGGTAGGAACGGCACCTGCAGGTGCTGCCCTGGGCAGGTCATCTGACCCCCTGCAGACAGCCTGCCATTCATGGCACTAACTCGGCTGCATGTGCACAGCAACAGTCTGTGTCTTCTCTCCCAGTTGTAGATGGAGAGACTTGCCTGAAAGTGGGGTTCACATAGTAGGAGGGGGTTCGGTGACTAAATTCAAAGCAGAGGCTAGATCAGCCCCTGCCTGAGGCTCTGGATGCCAAGACTCCAGCCCTAGCAACAGCTGTGGCCTTGCCCAGTAGAGCAGGAAGAAGCACCACAGTTGGCCTAGAATCCTAGAATCCTAGCACCCAGGACAGGGGGACGGAAGGCTGTAAGGCCAGACCAGGGATTATGCAGAGAGACGCTGCTTCAAAAAAGAAAAAAAAGGAGAGGGGAAAATGGAGGAGAGAGGAACATTCTGGAATTCCATTTGGAAGAACAGCTTCTAGTCCAGTAAGGAAGACCCAGAGTTTTCACTTGTATCAAGTTACAGGAAAGACCCTGCCAGGCAGGTGCAAAGCATCTCTGCACTTCATTCCCTCAACCCCCGTCACTTCATGTGGGGGCCACACCTGCCCAAAGAATTTAAATTTCAGAGTTAGCAACTTGCCCAAGGACTTCAAGATGGACAGAGAACAAAGTCCCAATTCAAACCCAGTTTGCAGAACCCCAGAGCTGAGCCCCCATCACCTGCAGCCCCTCCCCCTAGAGTAGCTGTTCAGGAGACAAAGCTAGTAGGAACATTATGGCTTGTGAAAGAGACAACACATGCACATGCAGCTGGTTCTAGAAGATGAACAACTGAACGGCTCTTGAAGGCTGAACTGAAACCTCCCAGTGAGTGAGGAGTGGCTTTGCCCTCCTTGCTCTTTGCAGATGGAGATCCAGAAAACACAGTTCATTCCAGAAGGCACTGGGCCCTGCAACCCTGCCATGCCACGCTATCACCTTGGATCTTGCCCTCTGGCCCTAGGGGGAGAGTTGAATGAAAGGAACGGACTCTTCAAACAGTTCTACAGTCCCTCCCAGCTCTAAAAGAGCTCAGCTCTAAAGTGCACACCATGGTGAGGCACATCTGGTCTAAGGGGCTGATATAAGAGTGACCATCTAGAGCTGGGGAAGGAACTCAGCAGAGTATTTGCCTAGCATGAACAAAGCCCTGGTTTCTAGTACTCAAGGAGATAGAGGCAACAGGATCAGTTCAAGGTCATTCTTGACCACATATAATGAGTTTGAGACCAGGATGAGATACATGACTTTGGCCTATCCCCTAAAAAAGAAATGACCATTTAGTGTGAGATACTGACCCAAAACATCATGGCCACTCTTTGTCCTCTGTATGGATCATGGCAGCCTGCCCTCTGGTTGAGAACATCAGGCAGTGAGCAGAGACATGGATTGGGTAGTGCCAGAATCCCATAGTGCCATGCACCTCCCCACAGGGGTCATGCCCAAGCATGGGCTGGATGTGTCAGCCTGCGAGGTCTTCCGCTTCTACAAGCTGGTGACACTGAAGGGCCTGATCGAGCCCATCTCCATGATTGTGCCTCGGAGGGTGAGTGGGGCGGGGCTGGGCTGGGCTGCAAAGGGCCCTATGTTGAAAAGAACGGGAGGGGCTCAGGTGTGGATCAGGGTCTTCAGATTCTACCTGCCATGGAGGGTGGAGGAGACTCTCAAGTGGGGATGGTTGGCTTGCATGGAAGGGGAGGTACTGGGAGGACAAGGCTTGGAAATGGGACAGAGGTCAGTTTGAAGAGCTTGACTAGGCTGCCAGGGCTTTCTCAGCAGCCCCCAGTTGTCCTTCCTCTTCTTCCTCCCCCACTGCAGTCAGATTCCTACCAGGAAGACATTTACCCCATGACGCCAGGCACAGAGCCAGCTCTGACCCCAGATGAATGGCTGGGAGGCATGAACCGAGGTACCACAGTGGGCAGGCTCCACAGGAGATGCCAAGAGGCTGCGGGCTTTGCCACTCCCTTACCTGCCCTGCTTGCTTGCATGCCCTCCTGCCTGAATGTCCCCTCCCTGCCCCCAGCCAGCAAGCTGAAACACTGAGATACCCTCACTTGGCAGTCCAGCCTGTTGTAATCAGACCATCTCCCTTGCCTTCTTAGATCCTGTTCTGATGTCTCTGAAGGAAGGCTATAAGAAGTCTTCGAAAGTGGTATTTAAGGCTCCCATCAGAGAAAAGAAGAGCGTAGTAGTGAACGGCATAGATTTATTAGAAAATGTCCCACCCAGGACAGAGAATGAGGTAAGACCTGAAAGTTATTACTTCCACAGGCTCTAGAGTCCTTTATGCTGCAATTATGAGCTTCCGGCCTGTAAGCCAGCTCTATTCTGGGGGCATTTTCTTACAGTGGCAAATACCATAAGTAGCCTGCTATTGGCTTTCATTGCCTCTGACCTCAGGAAATAGAGGCTGGTATGTCAGGGGAGATGCTCCCCTTGTCCAACCTCAAATTCGTTGACGAGCAGAGTTGGTTATCTCCTCATGAATCTATTTCAGAGTGTTACTGTCATGTGGTGTTATGGGGGTTGTAAATCACCAATGAACAGGAGTGAGCCTGGCCTCATGTATCACAGCCTTGCCTTCCTGCCTGACGGTCTATCACACTTCCTGTCTTTGTGGAAGAGGTGCTGGCTGCTTATGAAAGGCTCTTTGTATCGCTTAGAAGAGGAGAAACTCATTCTGGGGCAACTCGAGCTCAGCCTTCCTTCTCCATGACCTGTGAAGGCATTACCTTTCAACCTATACCCTCCAGGACTACATGCCATCCCAACTTGCTCAACTGGTAATTACAGGATGCCTGTACCAAGTCCTAGGCCTATTGCGTCTAAATGGTGATTGTGTGAGCCCATCTGGGCGTGAATCCTGGCTCTGCCATTTCCTGTCAGAGGCTGAACAAGATTCCTCACCTATCTAATGCCATTTCCTTGTGGGAATATGGGGATGTGAAATGGTGGACATTAAAGAGATGGTATACCAGTGTGCTGCAGTCTTCCTGGCTCAGCCCAAGTACTCAAAGAAAGGATGGCTGTGTTAGCTGTTTGCTGATGTGTAACAAATGACCCCAGAACATAGTAACTTCACCCCACATATTAGTTATTTTTCTCATTGTCGTGACCAAAATGCCTAACTAGTAGCAAGTAAGGATGGGCTTAGTTCGAGGGGCTATGGTCTATCATGCTGAGAATATGTTGCAGCAGGAACTAGTGCTATCTAGTCACGTTATATCCACAGTCAGGAGGCAGAGTGCACAGGAAGTGGTGTGGGGCTATAAAACCTCAAGGACTACCCTCAGTGACTCACTTCCTCTAGTGAGGTTCTACAACTTTCCCAAATAGTGCCACCAGTTGGGGACCAAGTATTCAAACACAAGAGCCTATGGGAGACATTTCATACCAAACTGCAGTACCCCACAAAGGTTTATTAGCTCACTTCTGTGGATTCCTGTGGGTCCAGTTACTCATGAAGCTACAGTAACATCTGAGGGTTCAGCTGAGAAAGGACCTGCTCAGACATCGACTCACGGGGCTGCCGTTGGGCTGAGGGTGTCAGTTCCTCACAGCCCAGGTCCCTGCTGTATGGACTCCACTAAAGGCAACTTTTACTACAGCAGTCGGCTTCCCACTAAGCGTGGAGCAGGAGAGGGTGTCAGAGATGGAGGCCACAGTCTTCCTGTAATCTAATCTGGGAAAGACACGTCATCACTTCTGCTGTGTTCTGTTGCTTGACACAAGCTGTTAGATCCAGCTCAGTCTCAAGGGGAGGTAACACAAGGGCTGTCTTAGACAGGGCTGCTTGTCCACAATGTGCTATCATCATCATTTATTAAAAATCAGACCATCTTTGACTTCAAAGGTCAGCCTTAAAGGAGAGGTTGGCAGGTAATTTTATCACTGCCATGAAATATGTTTATGTGAGCTAGAGATATGGCTCAGTGGATAGATAGGGTCCTTGCCTAGAATGCACAGGCCATGGGTTCAATTCCCAGCACCACATAAACTGGGCATGGTGGTACACAACTCTAATCCCTACATTTGGCAGGAGAATGCAGAAGACCAGAAGTTCAAGTTCCTTGGCTACATAGGGAGTTCAAGGTCAGCCTGGACTAAAAACCCTGGGAAGGAAAGAAGGAAGGCAGGGAGAGAAGAAGGGAGGGAGAGAGAGGGAGAGAGAGAGGGAGGGAGAGAAAGGGAGGGAGAGAGGAAGGGAAGGAGGGAGGGAGGGAGGGAAGGAGAGAGGGAGGAAGAGAGAGAGGGAATAGACATGTTTATGTGCCTTTGTAGAGGGATTTTAAGATTTCTGGGGATGGGTGAAATCTTGTGATAAGCAGGATTTTCTTCAAAATAAGCCCTGGAGGCAGTGTTAGAAGAGATGGAGCAGAGAAAAAGTGACAGGCATTAGGGAGCTCATGGCTGCCCTTCTATTCTTGTATATCATATTTTAAATTTTAAAAGAGGTTTCTGAAAAGGTGTCTTGCTTTTTGAAGGTAGAAGCAGGCTGCTGCAATGCCCAGAAGAGCAACCGTGAGGGTCTGAACTCTGCCTCAGGCCTGAGGGTGAAGAGAGCAGGGACCGATAAGGTTAAATCAAATTGCATTCAGCAGCAGAGGTGCCCATGTGAATCAGAACTGTGAACCTGGAGGAAACTTTTATAGCTTCTCTGTGTGAACCAAGCACATCTTTCTAGAGCAAAGCTGTGCATCTCCCTCCTTGCGAAGAAGTTACCTCAGACCCTGGGGACTCTGGATTTATCCATTGTTTTAGTCATTCAAAAAGCTTGGAATAACAATGAGAGAGTGAGGCTGTAAAAGAGGCACAGTGACCTAAAGGTAAAGAAACAACTGCTAAGCCGGGTGTGGTGGCATGCACCTGAAATCTGAGCACGCAGAAGCGGAGGCAGGAGGATTGCCATGAATTCTAGGTCAACCTGGACTACATAGTAAGTTTCAGGCCAGGCTAGGCTACAGAATAAGACCCTATCTCAAAAAGAAAAGAGAGAAAGATGGAGAAGGGGGGGGAGGGAAAAGGGGAGTGGAGGAGGGGGGGGGGGGGGAGGGGGGGGGGAGGGGGGGGGGAAAGGAGGGAAGTTATATGTTTGCACATTCCAGTAACTACTAAAAATCATTGAATTGTACACTTAATTCACTTGGGTTAATTTTATGGTTTGTGAATTATATACCTCAAAAAGCTGTGTGTTGAATATGCACAGTGGTGCATATCTATAATACCAGCAATTAAGAGGAAGAGGCAGTAGGACTGCCACAAGTTCAAAGCTAGCCTGGGCCACAGGCCTATAATCCCAGTACTCAAGAGACTGAGGTAGAAGGATCTCAAGTTCCAAGCTAGCCTGGTGGAACTCTGTCTCAATGCCAACTCCCCCCCCAATAATAGTATAATAATTTATTTTAAAAAAAGAAAAGTCAACTAAAGGAGGGAATCATGAAAACGATGGATGCTTTAAATTACTGAATTTTGTTTGACACTTAAAATGTGGGCATTTATTCAATATTTCAGAGAAGGTAGTTGAAATAGGATCTCACTGTATAAACCAGGCTGGCCTCAAACTCTCCATCCTCCTGCCTCAGCCTCCCCAGTACTAGGATTACAAGCCTGTGCCACCAGACCCAGCTCATTCAGTGTATTTTGATGCAGATCCAAACCTCTCCCTTTGATGAGGCCTCCCTGGTTGGAACCTAATATGTCTTTTTTACATTAATTACACATTAACTCCAATTTCCAGCTCTACTTTCTTTTATACTTGATTTTAGGCAAGAGACTGAGAAGCAATTTAGTTTCTTTTCGGTGAAAGCAGAACATACAGTCAGTCTGAAAGCAAAGTCCTACCTTCACAATGTTTTCCGTGTTTGTTGGTTTGCTTGTTTTTCCTGGCTATACTGGAGATTGAACCTACGGCCTCATGTATGCTAGGCAAGTGTTCTCCCACTGAGCTACAGGCCCAGTCCTCTAATCTGTTTTTGAGATGGGTACAATGAAGTAGAATATTTATCATTTGTAGTATGCATGTGTGTGAGGGTGTTTCATTTTGTTTTAGAACAGGGTCTCCTGTAGCTCAGGCTGGCCTTGAATTCACTATGTAGTCAAGGGTGACCTTGATTCTGATGATTCTGATCTTCCTACGCCCATGCACTGCTATACTTGGTTTATGCAATACTGGGGATCAAATCCAAGGCTTCATGTATGCTAGGCAAGCATTCTACTGAGCTATACCCCCAGCCCCAGGTCTGTGAGTTCTGACAAATGCCTACAGTTGAGCAGCCAGTATCACCTGTCTCCACGGTTATATCATCCACACCTGACTGAACCACAATTTTTATCATCTTCAACAAGATTCTCCACAGCATTTACATTTTTCATAGAAATGGCAACTCTCTGTACTCACTTCATGAATATATATTATATTTAATTAAATTGTATAAGTACATATGATAGCAAATGTAATTCATGCCAGAATCTACAGTACAGTAACTGTAGGTAACATTCAGCTCTAGCGCAGGGGGCCTGGAGTGGCTTACTGTTTTCCCCACTCAGTGTTTTGTGCGCATTTCTCAGTGTGCTTTACAGATCAACGAAAAACTGGTGATCTAGGGAGTTGACTGTGTGAGGGTCTACCAAGATACCCGTGCTTTGCCCATGTTTGCTGGGAACTGAACCACTGCCCAGACTTTACTATTTCAGTCATAGAGTCATGTTTAAAGCAAGGTTCTAGGCATAGAGCAATACCTCAGTGGTAGAGCATTTGCCTAACATGCCCTGGGCCCAGTCTTCAGTCACACACACACACACACACACACACACACACCACACTCAGACACCATGCACACATACCATACACACATACCATGCACACACATAGTACACACATGATGCACACACATACATATACACACATATACATACCATGAATACATATAACACACATGCACGCATATACATATCACACACATACTACAAATACCTATGTACACATCCACATACATACACCATGCGCACACATAACACATACATATGCATACATAGCACACATACTACACACACTATACACACATACTACATACACTATACATACATAACATGCACACATATGCATATACACACACTATGCACAAAGGCCAAGTTTTCACTCTTTACCCTTCATTTCCTAAAGAAGAGAAGGACACAAAACATTTTAGAGGGGCAGAGCTCAGTTGGCAGAGTGATTGTTTAACATGCCTGAGGGCCTGGGTTCATTCCCCAACACAACATAAACCAGGAATGCTGGCACATGCTTATAATCTAGAACTTGGGAGGAAGATCAGGAGTTGAAGGCCATTTTCAGCTACATGGTGATTGAGGCCAGCACCTTGTCTTAAAAAGAGAAATTCTTATAGCCAGGCATGGTGGCACACGCCTTTAATCCCAGCACTTGGGACACAGAGGCAGGCAGATCTCTGTGAGTTCAAGGCCAGCCTGGTCTACATAGTGAGTTCCAGGACAGCTGGGGCTACAGGGAGACCCTGTCTCAAAAAGACCAAAAAAAAAAAATAATTTTTTTTTGAGAATTCTATCTAGGATGGTAACAATGATCATTAGGGGGTGGGCATGGTGGTGCACATCCGTAATCCCAGTCCTCAGGAGGAAGAAGCAGAAACACCCATAGGTCATCTCATCCTCTGCTTCACAGCAAGTTTGAGGCCAACCTGAGTTACACAAAGGGAGGGAGGGAGGGAGGGAGGGAGGGAGGGAGGGAGAGAAAAAAGAAGAGGAGGTGGAGGCAGGGAGAATCGGAAGTTCAAGGTCACACTAGGCTATGTAACAAAGTTTGAGACCAGCCTGGGCTGCAGAGTGAGACTGTGCCTCAAAGGACTTAGGTTCAGGTTCACAAAGGGGTAAACATGGGGTGCTGGAAAACTGGCCCATGGCAGTGTGTCTCCCTCAAACCCTGCTTGGCCAGTGGGTTTTCTTCTTTCCCTCCGAAGACAAAGAAGAGCCCTGGGAGGGATGAGCCTGGGGAATGCAAGAAGGGTGGTGGGCATCACTGAGTTGCTCTGGAGTGGCGGGAAGCCTGGGAGAGGTGGGGTGGCAGGACAGGCCTGGGCGGGGAGTCTGAGAGCCATGGCTTCTCTCCTGCTCTCTCACTGGTCTCTTGCTCCACCCCAGCTCCTCCGGATGTTCTTCAGGCAGCAGGATGAGATCCGGCGGTTGAAGGAGGAGCTGGCACAGAAAGACATCCGACTTCGGCAGCTCCAGCTAGAACTGAAAAACCTGCGCAACAGCCCCAAGAACTGTTAGCCCCTGGGGTGGGTGTTTTCCAAGCCAATCTCTCCGTTGTTTCTACTGGTCCCTTAACTACCCCTTATCCAGTGAGCCCAGAGATAAGCCTGGACTGGACCTGGGGACCAGCCGGTGGACCCCATGTACCACCTCAAGAACTGGAAGCTGACCCTTGACCTCCTGACTTCATGCTAATATCAGACCCCAGCCTCTTCTGGAGACCCCCAGCTCTTACTGGCAGCCCCTTTCCTTGCCACCACGGAGCCAGGCTTCCCCCTTGGTTCCCTGAGGGGTGCCCTCTAGGGATCAGGGAGAAGCAGGTTTACAGCCTGACTTGGAACTTGAACTTGTCCCTTGCACAGGGGCTGCCAGGACCTGTCTGCACTGGGACTGGTAACTCCCGGGCCCAGCATTACTTAGGAAGCACAGAGTGAGGGCTGTATTGAGGGTGGAGTGCTCCACTCACTTCCCATCTCACTCTGCCCCCAGCTGCCCTGCAAGCCTGGTTCATCTCACCCAAGGGTAGGCACCAGGCAGCCAGCTCTTCTCTGTCTCAACCTCCCCTGCCCACTTGTCTTCAGGGAATGAAGAGTATGCTCTCCAAGGCCATAATGACCCCTTGCCTTCCCCATGGTTCTCTTCAAAGCTCTTGCACACATGCTTTTTCTCATTTAATGTGTGGGCCAGGCAGCGCAAGGATTAATATTCCCACTTGTCAAATGACAAAACTGAGGGCTGCAATCAGGAAGCAACTTGCTGAGTCACCCAGAGGGTCCACAGCAGACCCAGGACCCTTGGCATCCAGACCCCAAAGCCAAGGCCCTTCTTATAGTACTGAGATGCCAATCCCATTGTAGGATTCCCCAGAATGAGGGCTAGAAACCACATCCATGGTCTGCCCAACACCAGTAGTGCCAACGTGCCACACTGCCCTGCAGAGGCCCATCACACTCAGTGCCCCCAACCCTCCTGGCCTGTCCTCCTCACTCTCACTCCCCACAGGGCCTCCATCTGAGTTGAGGCCTCTCCCTAGAAACAGAGGCTGGGAAGGGTGGAGTTTGGCCCTGGGGCAGGAAGAACAACGGTCTGATGGCTTCTCGGGATGCTCTGTACTTGTCTGTCCTCCCTCCCCGCAACCCACCACTATCTCAGCCACTTTCAGCCTTACACACGTAAGATGGCCACAGCCACTCCATCCACATAGCACTTTAAAGTTTACACAGTTCTTTGACATACAGGATCTCACTGACCCTCCCATCTGCTCCACTTTACAGTGGAGAGACAGAGAACTGGCTCCAAGGACACACAGCTCTGAAATGTTATTTTATCTTTGATCTTCTATACGCTTCTCTTTTTTTCCCCTCTTCTTTCCCTCTTTCCATTTCCCGTCTACCCCACGGAGCTCAAAAACATTGTTCTTATGATAGTACATTTGGGGTGGAGGAGATCTAGGAACCTGTCATTTGGCTAGGATCTGCTACACACGGGACACTCTGTGCCTGCCCTTCCTAACACAACCTGCAAAACTTCCCATCCTCAGAGGCCCTCCTAGGGAGCTGGGAGGGGGAGAGCCCGCCAGCCCTGGGGCCTCTTATTGCCAACAGTTGATGATCCCCATTCCCAGCCAGCTGAAGCAGTGTCTCTTCCCAGCACCCCCACAGCTAGACTGTCAACTCTCATCTCCTCCCTCACACTTCTGGAGCTTTCTTTCTCTCCATTGACCTTTGTGGTCTTCTGTGATTATTTATGCTGTCTCCCAAGGATAGAATTGAAATAAAATGTTTTCAACTTATCAAGTTGAGGCATAGCTGTGTCATTAGCCCTGGGGGAGATACCACTTGGTCCTCAATGTTGTCTCTGTGATCAGCTCCCCATTCATAGCTCCTTTGCATTTCTGGAATGACTGCTACCTCTGTACAGATACCCTCCCACAGTTCTTTTCATCTAGAGGGCACTGTTGGCATCGTGGGCCCTATAATACTTTGCTGTGGGGCTGCCCTGTACACTGTATCAATGTCCCTGGACCCACCATGCAGATGCCCTAGCAACCTATACATAGTTTTGACAAACAAAAGTATCTCCAGATATTGTCCAGTGCCTCCTAGGTATCAAAATCACCCTCCACCCAATTTAGAATTACTGTCCTGGGGCCAGTGAAATGTCCAGTGGATAAAGGTGCCTTCTACCAAGTCTGACCACCTAAGCTCCATCCCTGAAATCTACACAGTGGAAGGAGAGAGCCAGCTCCTGTCTTCTGATCTCCACACATGTACCTTGGCACTCACATGCATGTGTGTGCTTGTGTTTGTGTGAGCGTGTGTGTGTGTTTGTGATTTTTAAAAATAACTTACTAACCTATAGCTATTCAAAAGATATCTGTTATGGCCAAGTATGGTGCCTCACACCTGGAATTCCACCATTGAGAAGGTGAGGCAGCAGGATTAACAGGAGCTGCAGGCCAGCCTGGGCTATCATAGCAAGACTCTGTCTCAAAAAAAGCAGGTGTGAGAAGACTGGGGAAGCAATTCAGTTGGTAGAATGCTTGCTTAGCATGTGTGAAACTCTCGGTCTGATCCCAAGAACCACATAAATCAGGCATGGTAGCTAGCACACATCTGTAATCCCAGCACCCTGGAGATGGAGGCAGGAAGGTCAGAAGTTCAATGTCAACCTGGCTCTGTAGGGAATTGAAGGTCAGTCTGGGCTCTATGAAAGCCTGTCTGTTCTGTATCCAGCCTTGCGTTGCGGTCTGGAAGACCAGTGTCTCACATTGGAATGACACTTCACAGTTCTAAAAGGCAACCTTCCATGAACTTGGCTCGATTAGAAGAGCTCTAAGATGTAGGTTCTATTATTGTTCAGGTGGAACAGTGATGTGTTCAAGTCAGGAGCCAGTGTAATGGGGAAGAGGTGAAAGGATGGGGATTTTCTGGGTCCAGGGTCAGAAGAACAGGGTGGAGCCTATTCTGGAAGGATGCTGGAGTCCATGGGGAGACCAGGGATGGTGGACACCAGTACTCCTCCCACAGCAAGCCAGGCCTGCCTGAGAGGAGAGATGTCAGCCTGCAAAGGGTAACTCAGAGGAGTCAGAGGAATTAGTATAAGCTTAAGGAGAGACCATGCAAGGGCTGCACAGGAACTGTGGACAGCACACTGAGCAGGGGAGGGTCCATTCTGACCCCAACTGGTTGTGGGAAATCCTGCAAGACACTCTGGGCAACATTTTCCCCACCTGTACAATGAGGGGTGAGGGTAATTCCCAAAGCCCCTTCCTGGTCTGAGATTTCCATGACCCCAGCTGCTGAAAGAATGGATAAATCCCCATGATCTAGGCCAAGTGGTACAAACGAGTTCATGGGGGCAGGGTGGGGGCTGTGAGGAAGGCAGTATGTGATTTCCTGCACATCTTGGGGGCAGAAAATACCTTCTGCCAGACTTGAGTATGAATAGAGACTCCTGGAGTTTCTGCTTCTAGATCAATTCACAGTCTGGCTTTGAAGGAATTCTGAATTCATTCAGAGTATGGCCCTCATAAACACCTTCTTAGATGCTGGGGAACAAACAGAGCTGTTGCCTGGCTGAGTCTACCCTGCCTGGACTCAGAGGAACAGGTGAACGAATGAATGAATGACCGACCACATTGATCTGTCCCATCCACTCCTGGCCTATCCGGTGTTCAATTTTGAGCCTAGCTAAACTACTCTTTAATTCCTGCTTACTGAGGTAAATTATCTAAGGTCAGAGTCACCTGTGCATCCTCCCCTTATTCCCCCATTTCCCCAACTGTGTTTGTTGAATAATCTATCATCATCCTCTTGGCTACCTATGCCTCCTTAAAATCTTCATATGCTGGACTGGGGGTATAACTGAGCCTGGAAAGCGCTTGGCTAGAATGCACAAATACCTGAATTTGATCCCCAGCACTGCATAAATCAGACAAGATGACACATGCCTGTAACTGTGCTTGGAAGGTTGGAGGCAGAAGGACCAGAGAAATTCAATGACACCTTTGTCTATATAGTGAGCTCAAGGTCAGCCTAAGGTACATGAGAACTTGTCCTTAAAAAAAAAGGATCTTCGCATGTTAGCATGCATTCCCCCACCTGGTCTGTTGTGTGGTCTCTCTGCCAGTGAGTGTACCCCACCACACAGCATTAATTGCTTAAAGATGGGAGGAGAGGAAGCCCCTCATGTCTCTTTGAACCATCTCCACAGTCACATTTCCCAACGGGTGTTATTCTCCCTTTTTCCCAGGTCAGGGTATCAGGTTAAATGCTAACCCCTTCTCTTCCATGAAGGGAAGTATGACTAGAACTCTTTGTCCTGCTCCTCAATCTGACTGGACTTCCAACCCAGTTTAGCACACACCCAGTATCTAGATCTCCAAGTACTGGGTACTGGGCCTGCCCTGAGGGGCTCCGGGCATATCTACCTGTGGTGTACAATCACCATCAGGACACAGAGCCTGGGGCTTCACTCTGGGCTGGGATCTGGGAGGGGTGGTCATCCATCTGGGGAGGTTGATGGCTCCTAGGCTGTCTTCCAACCAGTCTCCTGAGCTCCCAAGATGGGCTCAGGCATTTAGACTCCTAGCACTGGGCAAGCATCCCAGACTGCAGAACCTGGCTGCTTCCCCACGGTGGGAAATGATTTCATACTGAACCATCCCCCAACCCCCTCCACCCTCTCCACCCCACCCCCACCCCCTCCACACCTCACCACACCTTCTCCACCTTGGAAGGACTACGGTGACATCACAGGGGCTGTGTGGAGCAATGGCAGAAACTTACCTGGGCCACTGGAAGTATTACCAGATCTCTCTGGGGCTGGCAGGCATGGGAGGGCCCCCTGGCTGGGTTCCTATTTCAGAATAATATGAGCTCAGCTTTCCTTGCAATTTCAGTTTGGTAACTAGCCCGAGTGTCAGCCTTACCTGGAGTCCCTCTCTGACACCTGGGTCCCTGGGTTGTGTGCCTGCAGTCCCCCTCTGGTAGCACAGTACTCCCTTTAGGTTAATCACTGCCCTTCCCAGAGCACCATCTTCTACACATGCCTCCACATTAATGGGATACTGGTGTGAACACGGCTAATGGATGGAGCCCAAGTGGAGGAGGGGAGTGGACACAGGATTTCAAGGTCATGGTGATCACAGGAAGATCCAAAGACCAGGAAGAATTTGCTAGGAACTTGAATCCAGCCAGTAGGTGGCAGATTGCTACCTTTCCACCTAGACTGTAATGAGCTGAGTCCCTTCTGTGACCTCCCATCCCACCGCCTAAAGAATGACCCAAACCTAAGATAACAGGGCCTCTTGGTGAAGCAGGCACACCAGGTAGCAAGAACCTGAACCACCCAGTGTGGGCAGAGGGAGACACTCTAGGGATCCACAGGCTCCCATGCCAAGGAGGTCGGCAGGGACTGGGCCCGCTTCCCTCTCGCTCCAGCGGGCACTGACACCCCAGGCTCTGGGAGCTGGAACGTGGGGGGAGGGGTCTGGCTTCCAATCCCAGCCCAGCTCTGACCTGCTCTGTGACCTTGAGCAGTTTCCCATAGGGACAATGACAGGGAGGAGCCCTTTCTGCCCTGCCCTAAGAGTGCAATTTGAGGAGGCTTGGGGCAGAGCCGGAAAGGGAAGGAGCAGGGAAGAAGGAGCAGGGGTCCAGGGCAGACCCCAGCCGCCAGAGGGTCACCACTCAGCCCACGCAGTTTCCAGGAAGCTGCTGTTGCGAGAAACAGAAGCAGCCCTCCCCAGTAGTCCTGCCTCCTGGGTATGGGAAAGACCCAGGGCCCAAAGGAAGAAGGTGGAGCCAGCCCAAGGGGCTGCACTCCAATCCGCTGAGGAACCCAGGGAAGGCTTGAAGCCAGGAGGATGACTCTCCATCTGCTTTGCCAGGAGGGCATTAGAGGGCATCAGTCAAGCTGTGACGCCAGGTCCAGATGGGGGGCTAGCGGCCTGGATAGTGGTGAGAGAGGTCATTCAATTATGGAATCGGCCTTGATGTGGAGGAGGGGGAGTTGCAGACATGGGGAAGGGAGGGTGACAAGGACTTGTTAGGAGAATTACTCAGGAGTGGACTAGAACTGGGATGAAAAATGCCTCACCCCTACTACAAATAGGACACACCACAGAGCTTAACAAATGTTTTTTGGCTGACCGGATGGAGAAAGGGCCAGTCTAGTTTACAAAATTTGCTGGGTGTCTTCTCTGCCTTTTGACCAAGATCAAGTGCAGAACATTTGTTTATTGGGTAATTTTTTTCATTGGTGGGGGGCAGGGTTTCCTGTAGCCCAAGGTGACCATCGCACTCAATATGTTGCTGAAGATGACCTTGAACTCCTGATCTTTCCGCCTCTGTTTCTAGTAGTGGGATCACGGGCATGAGCCAGCACACCCCATTTATATGGTGCTGGGGATTCATTCCAGTGCCTCAAAGTATGCTAGGCAAGCACTCTACCAACTGAGCCATATCCCAGCCCTGCTGGCAGACCTGGGGGTGGGGTGGGAGGGAGATTCTTAGCAATATGATTCAAAAGTCTTCCATCCCCTATGAATCTCCTTCCCTGACTTATCCCCCATAGGCTTCATAGGATGCCTGAAATTCACAAAATTGCCCCAAAGTCATTTGCAATAATAACGAAAATAAGTTCTTTCTCTTTGCTTACTGGATTCTGGAGACAGTTTTCATTAAAAACTTATTTAGGCAGATATTCACTAAATGCCTTCTCTACACCCAGTATTCTCCTACATGCTGGAACTAAATAAATAAGGAGACTCCATTCTTGGTCTCAGAG